TAGTGTTCACCTTGAAAGGCTTATCTTTGCTGGCGTTCTTCCCATGGACTTTCCTTGGTTATTTTCCTTGCGGTTTGTTTTGGTTTTCTGTTTTCCTCATTATTTACATTATTTGTGACTTTAAACTGTGCCTAATAAAACAGTGAAGTTAAGTTGAAGGCTTTACCGGACTTTAATATATGTTTTGGGCTTTGGGTTATTTTGAGAGACTACAGGTCATCACACAATGTTTCATGTATTAGAATATGTGTTTGAGCTTAGTTTCTACTTTTTCTCCCCATTTTTGTTATAATTAATAATTTTTGCTTATGCTTGATTCACTATGTTACAAAACTCATCATACAGAGTTATCTTTTTACATTTACTATGTTGATAGTTTATTTTAAAACTTAAGGTTTTGCTTCTCTTGAATCTGCTGAAATTAAAAAGAAAAAAAAATTGAGTAAATATGTGTATACTGTTTTCAATCTATTTTTTGTTCATGTGTGAATTTGTAAGAATTTGCTTTCATATTCTTATTATTCATTTTTAAAATATGGTTTTCTTTTTTCCAGTGCACCTTGTAATAAACTGCATTTTGGTTCCCAAAGTTTCTCTTGATTTCTCCAGTAAGCTGTTCCGAGCATCCAGGTTGGGGTAATACTTCCATCTGCTGTTCAATAGGCTGAGCAAAGTTCTCAGGATCCACCGCTTGCTGCTTGTGCCAAGTTTTAGCTCAGCCTGTCGTTCAAGCTAGACATGTATCGCTAACCAGGATTATTGGAATGCTACTGTTTTAAATAGATCTTCCCGGTGAGAACAGCCCTCGGGGTTTTTTTTTGCATCCTTTTCGGACTGTTATATTTTTCTTTTTTCTATTTTGGAGGTTTTCCCTCTTTTTTTGTTAAAATGCTGACAACCAACATCGAATTAACAGCTGTCCATTGGTTGCAGCAGGCCCTTAGCTGCGGGCCATAGCAGTGCAAAGAGCGGGAGCTTGATTCCGCTGCTGAAGCTTCTTTCTAAAAATCAGAGGGTTCACCAATACAGCTGACCTGAGCAGGAAGTGTATTGGTGCAATTCCGTTCGGTGCATTCCTCAAGCGCTAATTTTCCTTTTTTCTTATTTTTCCCCCACTCGCACCAAGACCTCCCTTGGCTGCCCAAGACCTTTCAAACTTTGTGCCGGCAGTTTCAGCAGCCAGCGCCATTTTGGATTGGCCTTTTTTCATGCCAAAATTCAAACGGCAAAAAAGGCGACTTTCCTTTGCAGTCCACAGTTTTCTTCCCTCAATCAGCTGTTTTTTCTTGCGAACCTTCCGGCAAGTAGCCTCAAGCCTAGAGAACTTGCACCGAGGTAATTTCTCTGGCCTTTGAGATTCGGCACCGAGGCTTTTCACAGCCGGCACAATCTGGGTGGTCAACAGTTCACACCTAGGCCAACAGTCAACAGTTCATGCCTATTGTCAGCCTGCGCCTTTAAAACTGTCCTTTATTAAGAGATGGTTTTTTGGGGAGCTACAGGCTGAGGGTTAAATTGGATTTTTGATCCCTCAGCCATAACAGGTCAGCTTCAAACTATTTCTTGGATTTATTTTTTGATTATTATTTTTTTGGAATTTGAATTTAAATTTTAAAATTCAGGAAAAAGAATTGGATTTTTTTTAAAAAAAAATTCTGCAGGGACCTGACTAATATTAATAGGAGTCACTACCCACACTCCAGAGCAGATTCCCAAGTGGGCAATAGCCACTATCTTATAGGTATAATCCTATTAAACACACATGTTTTTCAGGCATGCAATGGAAGGAGAAGGCTCTATTTGTTCCAGTGAGTCAGGGTCCAGAATATCTGCCAGAGCAATAACAAGAAACAAAACTAAGGCCTCTCATTCCAAGAAGCCCTCAAAGGCAGCAGCAAAATATGAGAAATGCCACCAAAAGGCACTGGAGAAACATCTGGAGAGGAGTCTTTGGGAGGCTGAAAAAAACTGACAATCAGCCGCCCCAGCAGTTGCGGTACTTTTTTCTGGGTCCCTTTCAGCCCCACCTTAGGATCTTTTGGTCACCAATAGGGGCAGTGACAACCTGAGAGCCCTACCTTGGTCACCAAGAGGAGCACCTGAGGCCTTCGTTCCTCAGGCCCTGTGACCAGTCATCAGCAACAGGACCGATTCAATGTTCTCTGTTTCTATGCCAACAGGGCTACAAGCTCATCAAACCAAGAGACCCAGGCTAGTGCCTGAGGTTACCTTCACCCCAACTACAGCGGGGCTCCGTGCAGAGGAATTCTTCCCTCAGGACATTCCCCCTTCTATGCAGTTTTGGATGTCGGAGGCAATCAGACATGGCATTGCCACAGGTGTGCAACAGACCTGCCAGATGAGGTGTCAGATATCAGGCTCTCTCCAACAACAAGGGCATCCTCAACCCATGCAGCTCAGGGCGGACCTCCCTGACTTCCAGGTACCACTCCAACCCATGCACCCAATGGGAAATCTACAGGAATTTCAGCCAGAACCTCATCCCATGCATCGCATGGGGAAACCAGCAGAGGGTCAGGACCCCTACTCTCCCGTTTCATCAGATGATACTGATTCCTCCCCGTCGGAGACAGAGGACCAACTAGACAAAGATATGTCAGAGGATGAAGGACTAGCTCCGGAACAGCCTACATTCATGGGACTGTTCTGCCCGCATCTTTTCAAGTCCTTGTTGTTCAAGACCAAAAACACAGCACATCTTGACAACCCTTCCATTTCTTCAGAGCCCGCCTTGAACATGGGAGAGTCAGATGATTTAATTTTTTTGGAACCAATAACAGAGACAGAGGTCATACCAGTCCTGAAGATGTTTGTGGATATGGTCAGATGACAGTGGACCTCCACAGGCTCCTATCCCAACCCTATGGGTTATGATAGGACATTTTACAATTTGGCTTCAGATCTGACTGGGTTGCTTCAGACACCAGTAGTTGATGAACCTAGCAGCTGTGGCCCTAGCAGCTTCCTCCACCATGCCCAGCAAGGCGGAGGATGCTTTGAGACCAGAGGATAAGAGGGCAGAGCTAGCACTATGTAGGGCGCACCAGGCAGATGCCCAGGCTATTAAGATGGCCACAGTCGCATCCTTTTTCACCTGAACCTCCCTAAGGTGACTATGCCACCTGCAAGATTCCATTCCGGCCACTAACATTAGAGCCCATCAAGACATAGCAAAATTAGTGGTGGCCACAGAATTTTCTGATGATGCTACCCTCAATGCGCTAAAATTCTCATCCCATAGCCTCCCAAATCACAGCCTGCCCCCTGTTATGGCTCTGCCGTTGGCAGGCAGATTCCAAACATAAATGGAAGTTGGCAGCTGCTCCTTTCGATGGACAAACTTTTTGGGTCAGCTTTGGATCCCATCCTGGTAGAGACACAGGACAGGAGGAAGATATTGCCTTCCCAGTCCTGGAGGTTCGATTATCACCCCGCCCAGTCCTTTCGGAGAACTTCCTTTCAAACTCCTTACCAGGGAAACAACTTCCAAAGAACCCAAAGGTCCTTTGGTTTCCATCAGGGACAACAAACTGATAGGACAGGGTTCAGATATAGGAACAGGCGATGAGCCCAAACTAAGAGGCCCTTTTGTGGAGCTGGGAGCAAATCCTTTCATCGGTCCAAATGAACACCTAACAGACCCTCCCATTGGAGGCTGACTGACCTTTTTTGCCAATCAGTGGGACATGACTACCACAGATGCCTGGGTCTGGGAGACTATAAGATCAGGTCTCTCCCTGGAGTTCCTCTCCACACCCCCAAACTTTTTTATGCCTTGCTCTATTTCACAGGATTCCACAAGGAGGAACCTTATGGAGACTGCAATACAGCATTTGTTGGAGACCCCGGTATGTCCCCGGTATGTCCCATTCATCCGGTCCCACCACATCTCGGAGTGGTGGTGGAGAGCAATTCTAGACCTGAAGCATCTGAACCACTTTCTAGTATACAGGAGATTTAAAATGAGTTCCCTACAATCTATTCTTCTAAATCTCAGGTAGGGAGATGTCTTGACCTCAGTGGACCTGACTGAAGCAAACCTGCACACCCCTATAAAACCTACGCACAGAAGATTCCTGTAGTTTTGTTATGTCAACCGCCATTACGAGTACAGCATCCTACCATTCGGCCTGGCTTTGGCCCCCAGACTTTTACAAAAGTGCTGACGGCCTTAGCAGCACATCTCAGGAGCATGCTGGTTCGCCTGCAATGTTATTTAGATGACATTTTAATATAATCCCAGTCTCATCTGCAGGCAGAGATAGAGCTATGAACCATGGCCCGAGTCCTTCGGGACTATGGCTTTTCAGCAAATCTGGACAAAAGCCATCTGACACCTACCACTCAACTTCTGCACCTGGGCACCATAATCAACACGGTGACAAGCGAGGTTTTTCTCTCACCTGATCAACAGGCCAGCCTCAGGGAATTGTCCATTTGCATTTGAATTCTCAAAGAGTGCCCCTGGCCCAGTTATTTCAACTTCTGAGGAAGATGATTTCCTGTATTACAATAGTTCCTTGGGCCCACCTCCATGCCAGGACTTTGCAATGGTTTCTGCTCCCATTCCAGAGATCCAGCAGGAACAATTCCATGGCCAAGGTCCTGGTCCCACTGAAAGTTTTTCTTTCACTTCAATGGTGGACTTCCAGGAACATCACCAGGGACTGCCTCTTCAGAGAGCCACACTGATTGGCAACTACTACCAATGCCAGCCTCTTCGGCTGGGGAACTCATTGTCAGTCCTTAGTAGCACAGGGTCGCTGGTCTCCAACAGACCTAAATTGCAGCATCAATTGGCTGGAACTCAGGGCAGCCCATCTGCCCCTCTGCAAGTTCCAGCACAAGATCCAGGGACAGCATGTCCTTCTGACAGAGAATGTGGCCACCAAGGCCCACATAAATCGACAGGGCATGCATTCAAAGTCCCTCATGAGGGAGGCAGAGAGGCATCTCCAATCCATCACAGCAGAGCATATCTTGGGACAGCACAACATTCAAGCAGACTGGTTGAGCAGGGCCACTGTCGATCATTTTGAGTGGCGCCTGCACCCGAGCCTCTTCCAGGAGATATTGGATTGGTTAGACAGAGACCCTCTTTGTCAGGAAGACAGAGGCCCTCTTTGTCTCATTCCAACCCTCCACACTGGGGAGGAAAGTCACAGCTTCAACAGTGGGTAGATGGCTTTGAGCCATGATTGTGAAGGCATATGTAATACAGACATTACCCGTGTCCAGAGGAATCACGGCATACTCCATCAGGAGTGCGGCCACATTAGTGGCTTGGGCGACACAAGCCGCTATCGAAGAAATTTGTAGGGCAGCGACGTGGTTGTCACCGTCATCCTTCATAAGACATTACAGATTGAACATTTTTGCCTTGGTGGAGGCTGCCTTTGGCAGATGTGTCCTGCAGAGGGTTCACATGGTGAGGGAGACTCCAAACCAGATGGAGGCCCTCCCGTAAGGACACGCCAGCTTGGGTATGTCCCTGACCTGGATGCTCGGAGCAGCTCACTGGAGAAAGGGTGTTGGTTCTTGCCTGATACTCCCATTCTCTGGGAGCTGTGAAGAGCATCCAGCCCCACCCAGATGACCGTCTGGTTCTGGTTCTGATCCTGGTCAAACATGATGAGCAACGGTGAAGGAAGAACAATGGTGTAATCTACCACTTCGACTTTGCCAAAACTAGGGGCAAGTGGCAAGGGGGCGGATCCTCAGAACTTTGCTCAGCCTATTGAATGGCAGACGGAAGTATTACCCTGAACTGGATGCTCTTCACAGCTCCCAGAGAATAGGCCTATCAGGTAAGAACCAATGCCCTTTCTCTTTCTTACAAGATTGTTCTGGTTCAAAATGGTCTTATGCATTGTTATCCAGGAACTACTCAAAGGGCTTATTGGAAATAATTAATCAGTCATTTCAGATGTGAAACAGACTTGACAAAGTGTAACATGCTTTGTTTTAATTTCTAAAATTAAAATATGGTGTTATGTATGTAGTCATATTAAATGAAATTCAAAAACAGAACAATAAGATCTGCATTATCAGAAGAGATTCACCTGTAATTCGATTTGTGCCACTTAATATTTCTTGATTTAAAATTGTTTTATCTCTTAACAAAAGTTGTTTCCCTTTTCCTTTCAGCACTTTCTAGAGAAAAGTGTTAACATGGATAGTGGTAAGTGCATGTTATTTATCTGTGGTCCATAACAAAACTTATCATTCACTTTGAAAAATGTGTAATGCTGTACAAGTACCTTTTTATCTCTGTGGGTAATTTTTTTTTGCATGTCAATTGCCCCTACTACCTAGTTTTTACATATTTCAAGAGTAAGACTCTCCATATCAGTTTTCTCCATTCCAACAATGCAACCTGACAGGAATTGCATCATTATTTTAACATTAAATTTAATTTGTGAACTATCCATGATGGGTAGATAATAAGATCACCCCTTCTTCTCCCACCCCACCCTCCAATATCTGGCACTAATTAAGCACTTTTAGATCAGATTATCGAGGGGAAATTATTTGTAGCTGCACATAGGTTCTTTTCCCAAAGTTCTCTATAATTATTTATTATCCAGACCCAAATTCTATATACATGCTATTGTTCCTCCTCCAGCATGGAAAAAAAGCATTGAATATAAAACAAATAGGGTGCCAATACTTCCTTTTTTGTGTGAAATCTGTCTTTTTTCCCTATCCCTGCTTAAAGTAAGCACAACATACATCATTTGAAATACTAATTGTCTATTAAATTTAACACTTAGGAATTGGATTTTGAGTATCCTCAATCATTTTCTTATTACTTTGCAGTTAGCTCCAGCATTTAAACAACCCCAAATATTTATGAGTATAGTATACACATACAATGTTTGTGTGTTCATAATCCAATAGATTAAGCGTTACATACATAGGATGAGGTTTATAGCTGAAATATCTGAAACATGTTACTTGATGCTGTTTTAAATCTTACTATACTCTCATCCTTATGATGAGTTCAGTTTGATTAACTGAACAGGTTGTAGAATTAACATTGTTGCCAAATAGACACAAACAGTACATCTTCATGCTGCAGAATATTATTATCCTGAACATAAATTTCTCAACTTGTAAGTACTAGTATTTCCTTGTTTTCTGCAGTATTCCTCATAGAGGCTAAGGCCAATTCTGTCTTAAAAAGATACCCACGGACCAATGGACTTTTGGAAGAACTTAAAAAAGGAAACATCGAGCATGAATGTTATGAAGAACGCTGTGATAAAGAAGAGGCAAGAGAAGCATTTGAAAATGATGAAAAAACAGTAAGTTACCTACTAAAAATATAAAATATTCTTTACATATTTATCTAATATTTTTCCATATAATACATGATACTACATTAGAACTATAGCATGCTTTGTGTTGTCATCTTAAAGAATGAGGCTAGAAAATAACTACTAAATATGAAACTTTAGATTTTGCATCTACATGATCTTAGCTCCTTTTTGCTGAATCATTCCAGAATGATCTTTCAGTAGGCTTATAAGATTTCATCATGTGACTATTTTTATTCAGCTATTTTTATTATAACATGAACAAGTTAAATTTCTAGGGATCCCAAATTTAAATTCCTCCTTTTAGAGATTAATTTGTAAAAAGGAACTAGTTTTTTCTTTGTTCTGTCTTGTTTTCTTTATTTCAAATGCTTCTATTCCACTTGTCATTCAAACATACTGCAATTAACTAAATACAAAGTCAAAGCTAATGGCAAACAACCATAATTATAGTACCAGTAGGTAAAAATTGATTATAATAACACATAATTAACTTTTTTAGGCAGAATTTTGGAAAGATTACACCAATGGACTCTATGGAGGAAGTAACCCAGGACAGAACTGGTACCCATTTTACCTAACGTTTCCTCTAGTCATTGGCCTTTTGGTGGTGGTTCTTATTATATTTGTCACATGGAGATGCCTGTTCCAAAAAACCCCACATGGACAGTCCATGTACACCCAGAGCAGAAACAGGGAAGATATAGGTGACAGAGCCATTCCTGATCGGAGAAATCCCATCCCTCAGTCATTCAGCGTTCTTCATTCTCCCCAAGAAGAAATATTTGAAGGCAGTGGACACTTCCCAAGGTACTTGAGCTACACAGAGAGACCTATGGATTTCTTATCAATCAGGTTGTCAAACTGTGAACCACCACCATCCTATGAGGAAGTTACTGGTGAAAGTAGCACACAAAGAAATGAATTTGCAAATCATTTGGATCTGCCTCCTCAGTATGAGGACATTGTGAATAGCATTTCAGTACTTCATGTTAACATCAAATGAAAGAGAATGATGAAATGCTCCCTTTGTAGAAACAAATGAACCCTAACACTTTTTAGCACTTTATTATAGCTTGGTATTTCAAAGATTGCTACTGTATTATGCCAATTCTTATTCTATAACTTTGGTTTATTCTGTGAGAATCCCTACATTTGGGAAACAAAATAGTCTTCAGCGTGATTATATATTAACACTAGGCATGGCATTATTGTCATGGCATACTTTTTCTACTATTGAAAGTGGTGCTAATAAATAGCTCAATTATAAAAATTGATTGTTTAAGCAGATGGCAACACAAGACTGACTTTATCTAGGTTCAGAAATTAGGGAAAATTGGTCTTGATTTCTATTTCAATGGGAAAACCTCCCAGGAATAGCAGGACTGTAGACTAAACTACGAAGTTAAGAAAAGATCTTGAAGGCAAAGGGTGAACCACTTCTGTATTGCTGTCAAGAAAACTATATAAATGTATCCATGAAATTGGAAGTCAAGTTTGGCTTGAAAAAGACTTAACCTTGAACAAAATAGGTACAGTAAGAAATGCCGACAATTTTCCTCTCAAAATAAGTATTTTTGGAATCCTTGTATAGCAAAAACAAGCAAATCATTTAGTAGGAATAGTCAGGTTTGTCTCTAAAATCTACTTGTTACAATGAACACTAATTAAAACTATGTTGATGATTAACTATATTTAAGCACATGTATTTTGATTGTTCAGAAGAGTATTAAAGACGTTTTGAGATGCTTTGATCTATATTTCCATTTGTAAGCACCTTAAAGACTATGATTCTGGAGACTCACCATATTCTGTTTTGACTGGCAGCTTTCTAATGACAACAGCTTTTCTTCAGTCATTTGTGCACTGAGTATAAAAGCTTGTAGGAGCATAATCACACTGGTTTGCACCTCAGTAAGGGCTATAACATCTTTATTTTTCCCAATAAATCTTTCTTCCAAAATCATTTACATAAAACGAGTGAATCTTTTAGGCAGCCAGTGTCATTGGAATGACATCAGCCAATAAAATAATAACTCATCCAGTTTAAATAAGGCCTGAACAGAGTTAGTAGTCAGTATTAATATAATTTTCCTTTTGTGTAATAACAATATACTACAGCAGGGGTGTCAAACTCAAGGTCTGCAGGCCACATCTGGCCTGCAATGTGGTTAGATTTGGCCCATGGGACTGCCCTGGAAACAGCAAAGGACCAGGCCAGCCGAGCGCTGATCTACAACATGGTGGTGGCCATCCAGGCTGGAATGCAGTAGGCCTTAGATCCTGAAGCCTATGATGACCCACCCCCATCCTGCTCCCTGGGCATGCACAGAGGATGCACTGAGCACGGATGGAGTCTGTTGAGGTAATTCCCCATTAGGAGAATGAGTGCATACAGGGAGACGTATTTGAGAGAAGTGTTTGAATAATACACACAGAGCACACAGATACACTGTACAGTAAATGTGGGTTTTTACTTCCAGAAACGTTAAGCAAAGTCCAAAATAAGCAGTCCAAAAGTCATTCACAGGTTAAATCAGTCAGTTTTCATCCAGGGATAATCCAAATATCAAATTCCAGTGTCAAAAACAGTTCAGTATCAGACTTACATTAAATCCAGTAATATCAGTCAATTAGGAAAAATGGAGGAACAGCAATACTTTCCAACAGAAGGAAACAGAGACATTCTCAGACACACTCTCTTCTGAGACTAAAACTAAACAACCCAGGTTTCTGGCTCCATCTTATGGCAGTTTGAGAAACCACACCTAATTACAGTTTTGCATTTTCTTTTTCTTTTTTTGAAAACAATTTTATTAGTTTTTGAAGACAAACAAAACAAACAAAACATAAAAACATCCAGCTTTTTCATAAGTATACAAACAGTGTGTCGGTTGGTTTACCGATTTTTTGTGCATCCATTTCGTAGTCTCAATTACAGTTACATTACATAATAACTCATATTATCAATCAAAAATTATATACCCTAGTATCACTATTAAACAATCATTTGACTATGATTTTATTCATTCATACTTTGTGAGATAGCTATAATTTACTTAGTTTATTTTATAACAAATCATATAATCATACCAAATCTATCCTAAAAACCTTTTATAAATATAATATCAAATAAAAAAGAAAAAAATAACTCTTTATATATTCATTATTGTCTAAAATTCTAAATATTCTATTTATTGTGTTTTATCATCCAACCATCGATAGAAAAGATCCCAAATTTCATTGTTCTCTAATTTCAAATGTCAATCTACTCATTTCAGCACATTCCAATATTTTCTTAATAATTTCTTCCTGCAATGGTATTTTCTCATTTTTCCAGTTTTTAGCAAATACAATCCTAGCCGCTGTTAATACATTTACAATCAGGTATTTCAAATCTTTACTATATGTATCAGGTAAGATTCCCAATAAAAAGATCTCTGGTTTCAAGTCTATATGTTTCTTTGTCATTTTTTCCAACCACATGCGAATTTTAGTCCAATATTTTCTAGCATCCTCACAAGTCCACCACATATGGTAATATGAGCCAGGTATCTGATGGCATTTCCAGCATTTTTCAGATTTATTCTTGAACATTCTTGCTATTCTTGTCAGGGGAAGGTGCCACCTGTAAAACATCTTATACAAATTTTCTTTATAAGCTGTTGACATTGTCATTTTATAATTTTGAGACCACAATTTTTGCCATATCTCTAAATCAATCCCATATCCAAAATTCTTCCCCCAAGCAATAATAGTTTCTTTAACTTGTTCTTCCTCTAATTTAATTTCCAGTAAATAACCATATAATTTTTTAATCACCTTTTCATCAGTACCTGTCAAAATCTTATCTAAATCAGTCAATTTTTCATAAAATCCCTCTGTTTTAAAATCTTCATCATACCTTGAATGTATTTGCGCATATGAAAACCAATTAATCTTTATACCTTGTTCCTCTGAGTTTTGCATCGATTTAAGTTCACTCTTTTCATCCAGTATTTCCCCATATCTAACTGTTTGTTCCTTCTTATAAATTATAGGATAGGAAAATGCTTCAATGGTCGATAACCAAACTGGAATTTTCAAATAACATTGTCTTTTGATCTTCTCCCAATTCAACCACAAAGACTCCCGTATATGATGTCTTCTAAAATAGCCCTGTGTTTTAGTTCCCTTATACCATAGAAAAGCATGCCACCCCAACAACAAATCATGTCCTTCTAATGTCAACAATGTCTTTCTTCGTGTTATCCATTCCTTGGCCCACATCAAGTTTGCAGCTTGATAGTACAATTCCCAACTAGGCAAACCAAAAACTCCTCTAATTCTGGCATCTTGTAAAAGTTTTAACTTTATTCTTGCTTTCTTGCCTTGCCATATATACTTCAACACAATTTTATTTAAATCTTCAAAATAGTCTTTTCCAAGCCTAATTGGTATTGTTTGAAACAAGTATAAGATTCTGGGTAGGATATTCATCTTGATTGTTGAGTTTCTCCCTATTAATGACAATTGTAGATTTTCCCATTTCATCAAATCTGATGCTATCTGTTGTTTAAGTTTATTGTAATTGTTCTCTTTTAATGTACTACATCTTGGTGTCAAATATATCCCCAAATACTTGACCTTGTTCGTAACTTGAATTTTCAATAGGTCTGCCAGTTCTTCTCTTTGTCTTAATAACATATTCTTTGTCAAAATCTTTGTTTTATCTTTATTTATTTTCAAACCATATGTCTCTATCTTTTCCAATAATTTTGGAGCTATTTCTAAAGGGTCTTCCAAAATAAAGGCCAAATCATCCGCAAAGGCTTGCAATTTAAATCCTTCCTTTTTAATTTTCATTCCTTTTATACTTTTATCATCTCTAATATTTCTATTCAACACTTCCAAAGTCAATACAAATAGCAAAGGTGATAGAGGGCATCCTTGTCTTGTACCTTTTCTTATATTAATAGAGTCTGTGAATTCTCCCTCTATCATTACCTTTGCTGTCTGTTTATTGTATATGGCTTCTATTGCTTGGATAAATTTTCTGGCAAAACCCATCTGTTCCAATAATAATAACATAAATCTCCAATTCACATTATCAAATGCCTTTTGGGCATCTAAGAATATCAAAGCCATTTGCTTTTCAGGATGTGCCTCATAATATTCCAAAGTGTCCAGGATTACTCTCATATTGTCTTTGATTTGTCTCTTTGGCAGAAATCCATTTTGATCTGGATGAATAAAGTTATTTAAGTATTTTTTAAGTCTTTCTGCCAATATTGAAACAAAGATTTTATAGTCTGCATTTAGTAAAGAAATAGGTCTATAATTCTTGATTTGCAATGGATCAGCCTCTTCTTTTGGAATAAGTGTAATATAAGCTTCTGACCATGTTTTAGGTATCCTCTTCTTTAACATAGCTTCATTCATGACTTCTAGCAATGGAATGCTCAATGATTCTTGTAGTGTTTTATAAAATTCTGCCGGAAGCCCATCTGGACCTGGTGCTTTCCCATTGTTTTGCTTCTTAAGTGCTTCAGTTAATTCCATCATTGTTATATTACTTTCTAACATTTGTTCAGTCTCTTTAGGTATCCTAGGTAGATTAGCATTCTGTAGATACTGTTTGACTTTTTCCTCATCAATATTCTCTTGCTTATATAGTTGCCCATAGAAGTCTCGAATAATTTCCTTTTTCTCTTTATTACCATAGCAAACTTGGCCTTGATCATCTATTAATTGTGATATTTTCCTTGATTCTTTCTCCTTTCTCAATTTGTATGCTAACCACCTACCTGGTTTATTTGCATCTTCAAAATAGTTCTGTTTAGCACTTCTAATTTTCTGTGCCAATTCTTCTTTCTCTATTAGACCCATTTTATGTTTAATTATGTCCAATTTTAGTTTAATATCTTTTTTCTGTGGCATTTTCTGTAGTTCTTTTTCAAGTCTTTTGTGCTCATCTTCTAGAACTTTAATGGCTTGCCTTTTCTTGATATTCTTTTTTCTTAGCTTCAAAGCCAAGCTTCAAGTATTTAGTTGTTGATAGAAGTCCAGAAGAACACCTGTAATAACACTCACCCCTGCTCTTCCCTCTATCTTATCAAGTTGCAATGTCCTTTAAAAGGAGTCTTTCACAATTCTCTCAACTTCAAATTAAAATATTTTCAAGCCTCTAGTTGGCCGTGTTACAAAGTTTCTTTGTTCTCACTTTCCCCCTCCTTTCCCAGGGAAAACGTAATAGAAGTTAAAAAAAAGAAAGAAAGAGAGAGTATATACATATATGTTGTGACTCCGAGACTTGAACCTAATCAATCAGCAGATGTGGGTTCGAGTGAGGAAGAAGATCTGGCACGGAGGTTCGAGCCTGCATTATTAAGTGACTTAGAGGGGAGTCAAGTAGAGGGAGAGGAGTTGGATTTGAGAGATGAACCTGATTTAGAGGCCACTCTCTCCCCTGAACCTACTTCCCTAATTACACCTCAGGTGTTAACTGTTAATCAGGAAAGTGTATCAGAGGATTCAAGCTGTGATGAAACTGCCGGATGCTGGATGGATGCCAGAACTAGGAGAAGATTGAGACGTCAATCTCAATTAGAAAAGAGACGTCCAGCAAAGGATTAATTAATGAGATTGACACGCCCTTTTTTAGAGGATATAAGGGAGCACACGGCTTTGAAATATTTGCTGGAAACAAAGTGAATCTTGCCTTGGAAAGACTTGCGTCTGATTTACTGCATTGTGAGTTACGAACTTTACAGAATTGCCGGACAGATTCTAGGAGGATTGCCAAAGGACTGTGATAACAGAGCAATT